CGGGGCAGAGGCCGGCCTCCCCTTTCGCATAGCTTCCCCCCCCCACGTGTGTAAATCTCTTTAAATGGCTTCCTGTGTTTGTTGTTGCCCGGCCGGCTGGGCACGGTGTGCTGCTCTCGCACGCCGTCTCCGGAGCAGGAGACGAGCCCGCTTTCCGATTTGGGGTGACTCTCCCGCTGGATCTGGGCAGGCACAGCACTGTCAGCGCTGCCGTTTTGCAGCTCGGGAGCGTTTGCACGAACTACTGCTTATGGCTGTACCTGGTTAACGTGGCCTCGCTGTTCGGAGGTAGAGAGTGCCGTTTTCATTAGTTTATCCGTTTATCTCGTGAAGATAAACCGGCAATGTGGGAAAAAGTTGCGTACGAATACCAGTGTTGGTGCACTGATTTAAAAACACTCGTTACAACTTCCTCCTGCGGTACCGGGGGAGGGAGGGTAGTGTCCGGCTAACGACTGCGTGTGAAACTGGTGCTTGCCAGTGTGAAATTGGAATTACTCTGCCGTTCTCGACGGTATGGTCCCTGTGCATTAATCGGATAAGTCTGTGTAGTCGAGACCTTCTCGTTTAAATCTTTTTCCCGATTGTGTCGCTTTAGATAGAGTTACTGAGCAAGAAGTCTGCAATTGCTTGGTGTATGTTTGAGATAAACATGTGGTTTCCTGAAAGCCATGTTAATATGCCAGCTCTTCTCTAATGGTTTAGGACTAGTGAAACTCTTCATGTTCCCCGCTGAACTTAAAATTACTGTGTTTCTTGGCTGCTCTTAGGAATAAGGCAGGGCTAAAGCTGGAACATATGTGGATGAAAAGCTCTTAAGGAATACTCGCGTTGAATCACCAGCCTCCTGCAGCCTTTCCTCCTAAGGATGTCTGCGCTGCAGAAGTTCTCTCGGATCGCCCAGCTGGCATTAAACTTGCCAGCGGGCACAAGCTAATGTGCTTCAGGTTAGGCTAGTGCTTGCACTGTTAGGCTGAACTTGAGCTGTTAGCTGGAATTAATCCCTGATCACTCCGTTTTCACTATTTAGAGCTCAGTTTTAATTAAAACGCCCACCTTGGTTGTATAGATTTATCTGGAGTCCGAATTGTAGTGCCATAGTTAAATTGAGCTTATTGCTTGAGCGCTTTAAGGAGCTCAGGGTACCTTGGACAAGAGCTGCTATTCTAATGTTTGGGTAGGATATCGGGATGACAGATAAAATGTTAGGTGAACATAGGTTTTCTTAGAGTTGGTTGGAAAAGGAATGCAAGTTTTATGTGAAACTACTGCAGGATTGCAAGGAAAACCTGATGGTGCATAAATATCCATTATCCAAAATACTATTTTTGGATTTATAAATGCAACATTCACCTTCAAGATGCCTAATAATATTTTTTCAGCAAGTGTATTTCTGAGGCAGCTATTGTTACAGACATTTCATGGCAGTAGGTCATCTTATCAGTTTCCTCCAATCAGGGATTTGCTATTCACTCTGCAGTATTTTAGCCCAACTTGCCTTAAATAACTTGTTTCTAATTCTGAAACTTTCATTCTTAATTTCTTTTACCTCTTTCTATCTTTGAAAATGTTCTTTTTGTTTAATGTTACTGCGGTATATTCCTTACTATCTTGTTGCCTAGTTTCTAACTTTGAGTTGTGAATGATTACCCTTTAAAGGTATGTCCTGTCACTGTGTAGTCTCCTGTCTCACTAGATGTTGCTAATTCATGCCACACTTGGAAGTTTCTCTCACTCCCATTAAGCTATGTGTAAATAAAACATATTCCAAGCAGTTTTTCCTACTAAACTTACTATTTTTTTCCTTCTGTCTTCCTATCCCCAGTCTGTCATAAGACTATAAAATAGCGGGAGGGTAAAAGGGGGAGGGACAGAATATTGGTTTGCGTGTCACAGTAGCCTGAAAGTTAATGTAAGTATTTATTTGAAGATTAACCTTTCATTGTCATGGGAATCTTTATAAAAATGAGCCTCTGCTTTTATACCACTGAGAGTTTAAGAAAAAAATATTTGTACTAACTGTAATAGTAAATGAAACAGTAGGATAGATGAGGTATCAGTGGTTCTTTTGTACAGTATTAAAGATAAAGTTTGGACAAAGTAAGCTTCTGTAAGGTAGCTGTACAGAGGTTGGTGTTTTCAAGTGGAAAACAGTGCTGGATGCATCCCTGTGCAATTACATTTCAGTTAACAACTTCTTACAAGGGAAGGAATTGCAGTTTTTCAAAAGTCAGTGTAGCTTTCTTTGTGGTGCACTTTCAGGTTACACTTGCTTTATTGCAAATCTGATTAAGAGTCTCTGTTTTCTTTCCGCTTTTATGTTTAATTTCCATATCCTTTCACACTTTTAATAGCACTTGAATGTCTCTTGATACATATGTTTAAATTAATACCAAAAGAATAGCCCCATTTTTTTCTTAATGCCATGATACCAGATACATGGAACAAAAGTAGGTAATTTGTACCCTGACCATATTTCCAACATACATAATGAGGCAGCAAAGCCATTTAGATTTAATGAAACTTGGGAGAGATCTTTCAGCCTTTGTCTTAGAGACAACACACGTATTCTTGACTTGACAAGCTTCAACTGCAGGGCATGTTTAGCAGCTGCTAATAAACATATGGCATAGTGCCACTGTTCAAGTGCGAAAAGGAAATTGTAGGTGTTAAGACAGTAAAGCAGTGGAAATTTCTATAGGTCTGTTGGATATTACACTAAGGAAGAAATGAGTGATGATTTCAGTTTATTTTTGGGATACATTTAATTTGGAATGCCAAAATACATCACAAGTGGCTGCAGCTGCTGTAATTCAAGGGTATTGAGCTGTCAGTTGGTGCTTCTTTCCAAGACAAAAATCTTGACTCCTTTTTTTCTATTCTATTTTTTTAAAATAATCTGTCTCAATATTAAAGCTTAAGGAAAGATATAATCAGATTGAAACTACCTTTGTTTTTTTAATAAACAGACTATTGTGTTGCAAAAATCTTAAGAAATAGACACTTACTGGGAAATCACTGCAAAAGATTTTAATTCTGTGATGAATTTAGATCCATGAGATGCAGATTTATTGGCTGCTGGGGGTTCCTCCCCTCAAAGCTGCTTCTTAAAACATTTTCTCTCTGGACATAATTTGAAGCCGAGCTTTGGAAATACTGCCAGAAAAGCTTTCTCCAGCCTAACAGGCATGTTGGTTTAAAGCAGAAGCTCTCCAAAAGGAGGAAGGCCTTTGATGTGTTATTTTTTCCATGTGAACTGTAATTGTTTGCTTTGTATGAGCAGTGATGAATAGAAGTCGTGCTTCAGATGTAAGAGTTACATTATAGTGTTCTAAGTTAACTTCTTGAATTACTCTTAGCAGAGCAAAAAAGTTGAGGAGGAAGTCAGGCCTTCAGAGTAAGGAGTATCACTTACTGTATTTTTATACAGTGTTTTTACCAGACCTCACACTACTCAATTGGATGTTAGGCACTTAATGGAACAGTTTTAAATTGCCGAGTTTTCTGTGAGCGATGCTATGGCATGTAAAACGGCAGCGGAGCATCATGTGTGCAGCTGATAGGACCGACTTTTGAGATAATTTTCCTCTGTAGCTGCACATGCTTAAGAAGTTCCTGATAGCTCACTTTTGTTAGAGGATCCATTTTTCAGGATAAGAATTAATTTGGGGGCATAGGGAAACTGCAGTAGAGTAAGGTGTGGTAACAGGGAAGGGATTACAAAAATGTGGCATAACTGCTTTTCCTATACATACAGCTGAGATGGAATCTATGGTTAGATTGTTGGTTTTGGGTTTGTTTGTTTGTTTTTCTCCCCCCCCTTTCTTGCTCCCAGGAGACACAGTGTGCTGATGGCACAGGAGGAGAAAGAAAAGCAGGTTTCTAGTAGCAGGTTTTGATCATCTGTTTCTGCTCCTGTTAGCTTTTAGGCAAGTTTAATTAGTGAATTATACATATGAAATAGTAATTTATCTTTGGGTGTATTCAGATGAGTCTAATTGAAACTGAGCACAACATTAGTTTCCTTGAGCAGTCTCTGTTCTGTCAGACTGCTTCTTAATCTCACCTACAGAGAGAAGCTTTTCAGACTTACAATGCTGTAGATTCCACAAATAAAGCTGAAATACTCCTGATTTTTATTCTAGATTTCTTACCAGTTTTTATTAAAGGATAAGGTGGTTTGGTGTTGAGATAACTTAGGTGATGGGAATATTTGGTCTATATTCTGAAAATATAATTGACATCTAAGCAAATATCATCAGTTTGTGGTTCTCATCAGAAAAATAGTAGCCTTATGACGATGTGCTATGAGCACAACATAAGTAACAAGCTTGAAAATACACTCTTTTAATTTTCTGTAATTATTTTTTGCACCTTACCTCCTCTTGAACTGTATTGTACCCTTTCTGTACAAAGGAGAGATGTTTAAAACTCTCCAAGGGATATTACATTTTTTTCATTTTTCTCATGGTAAATGTTAATTCTACTTGTCACACTTGGTTTACTTAGGCTTGGTAACTGTTCAGATGTCAGGGCTTTCATTTCATTTGAGGTGTGGCATTAGGATTAGCTACTTCCATAGTAGCAGTTAAACAGTTGTTTCCAATATTACAGTTAGTTTAGTTTTAAAAATATTTATGGACCCATTTCTGTAAAGCTGTGATATTGATCTCTTTCCCCCAACACACACCCCTGTAGCTTGGACGTTAGTTGCATGATGTCTCTTATTTTTCACTCAGCCTTCTGGTCTTTTCATAATGAAGGCTTCAGTCTTGTGTTTCTGTAGCACATTTGTGATCTGCAGCTCCTTTTTACCATGCTGGGTTGTCGTTTTCTTAGGAAAAAAAATGTATTGTAAATCTTGATTTCTTTTTTATCAGCTTGATGGGATACATACACATGCTCAGTTAAAATGTACTCTATCTCCATTCTTTAATCAGACATTTCTAAAAAGAAAAGAACCGCTGCAGATTATTTTTAAATTTTATGTGGTGTTTAATGTGTTCTCAGAGAACAAAATTGTCAGCTATCATAGCATCTACCTAACATTTACTGTGTGAGATGCGAGTCACTGATTGACTTTGACTAGAGTGACAACACTTTAGGGTACGATAATTTTCATCTTAATCTGATCCAAAGTCAGTGTAATTGGTGTTTTGAAACTACACAGTGCGCCGTTGCTGGAGTGACAGAAAGCTAGTCCAGATCTGAAATCCGCTTTGTCACACATTTGGGATGTACTTTCTGTTTCAGAGCTCTGATCTGAGGGAGTACTTGGGTATGTCAGAGAGCACGCAGAAGAAATTAAGCTGAGGTTGGACAAAAATCTGTTGCTTGTTTTCACATAAAAGCCTAATTGCTTTTATTTCTACCTCTTCTTTTCACTGAAGTGTTTTTCTGAGAAGGGTAGAGATTTAGAAGCAATTTGAATGTGACAGCAAACTGAAATTTCTCTGCAAGAGAAATTTGGAGATGCTGAAATGGTACAGTTTCTATTTTGGTTATGCTGGGCATTATTTGCTGCTTATAGAAGTAAATACCGTTTTAGAGGATGTAGTTACAGCCTCAGTTGTCATCCCAGTGATCCACACTGGGACTATAACTTGAGGTGAGTACTGATTTAATGCACTAATTCCTGTGTGGTGGAAAGTGACTTTTTAAAATATAGCTGTTTTTTTGCCATAGTCCCAGGTTAAGGGTATTACTTTTCTGCAACATATATTTTAGCCCCAGTATAGATTATGGGCTCATGACTGCATTAACATTCCCTCGTTGATGCTGATTTTGACCTGTAATGTTCAGGTAGTCGAGCTTTAATGATACCTCTAGCCCCCAAACCTGTGAATTATTCTGGGAAATGAGAGGAGAAAATAATGGCATAACTTGCAAAATCTGATCTTTTCTTGTCCTAATCTATTGGAGCCAGCCAGTTTTGAGCTGTCCTTATTTGCTAGGGAAGAAGAAAGAGTCTTAGAGATCCAGTATAAAACAGACTCTGTCATTGTCGCTGCTCTTGATGGCAGTACGTATCAATCAATACAAGTATGGTCTCAAATACGCCAGTCTGTGGTGTTTTCTGCTTTGTTCTAGCTGCTGCTTTTGTAGCAGCTCTGAATCGTCATTGTCTAAACATCAGTAATAAATTTTCTAAATGCTCTAAAATCCAGTTCAGATCTCTTGTTTCTCATCAGTCTCTCACTGTCTGAACTAATCTTTAATAACAACTAATTTCTTGGTGTTGGATTGTCTGATACAACTTTTAGCAAAATTTTCAAGCCGTGTTTGAGATCACGTCTTAAAAAGGTTGTAGAGAGGCACATAAGTACATATTGTCTGTATAGTAAGTATGTAGCACTTAAAGGTGTTGCTACTGTAAAGTTTCAGTGAAGCTTGATTCACTGAATGTAATAATGGAATACATCATGTATTCCATTGTAATAATAATGTAATGGAAGCTTAAGTTTTGTTTGGTCACCTGCAATATTCTGTCCACTTGTCCTGTAATACAGCTATTTAACCCTAAGACTGCCACAATTAGAAAATAAAGAATAAGTGTCTAATTTGTAGAACTGTATAAGAAATATCTGCTATTATAACTACTTCAGTAATATGTTTTCTTTAAAACATATAAGAAAGTTAGATTGGGAGATACAGACCTGATCTTTATGTATTCATCTCTCAGCATGAGAAAATGTCGAATCAGTTATCAAGGTTCTACTTACCCATTTAAGTGGAGGTTTCTAGGGAAGGATGGGGGGTTGGATATGTGAAAACCATCTAGTTAAGTCTTTGGAAAGAGAGAATCCTGAATCTTTAATGTATGTGGGTTAAGAAAAACAAGTCCTTCGCACTCAACTAAATCTCTTCCTTACTTTTGGCCGAAATTTCACTTCCTTTGCCCTCAAGGCAATTCTGCTAGTTCTGTTTTTGTTCCAAATTTGGGGGTGGAGGGTGCAGAATGAGATTGTGATTCTTAGTTTTCAGAAATATTTTTTTAATTATATATTCCTGCCTGCCTTTGACCAAGAACATAAATTAAAAAATATCATTTGAATAACATTATCTTCTTAAGTTTATTTTCATATCCTTACTATAGTGTTGGAGGACTAAGGAGAGCATTCATTAAGAGCTAATATGGTTGTGGTTTTTTTAATTGCAGGAGTCAGAGTTACCATCAGAACTGAATAATGAAGGATACTGTGATTTTAACAGCAGGCCAAATGAGAACTCTTACTGCTATCAGCTCCTGCAAGAGCTCAACGAGCAGAGGAAGAAAGGCATTCTTTGTGATGTTAATATTGTGGTGAGCGGGAGGGTCTTCAGAGCTCACAAGAACATCCTGGTTGCAGGCAGCCGCTTCTTTAAGACTCTGTATTGCTTTACAAACAAAGAAAGCCGTAACCAAACCACTGTTACCTATTTAGACGTTGTTGCTGTTCAAGGTTTTTCTGTCATCTTGGACTTCTTATATTCCGGTAACCTCGTGCTTACGAGCCAAAATGCCATTGAAGTGATGTCAGTGGCCAGCTACCTTCAGATGACGGAGGTTGTCCAGTCCTGCCGCAACTTCATTAAAGATGCCTTAAACATAAGTATAAAATCAGAAGCTCCAGAGACCGTTGTAGTGGATTACAACAGAAGATCTGTTAGTAGGGATGGTTTGTCTCCCAGGGATCAGAAAGTTGCCAGCTTCTGGGCAACACGAAATCTTACCAACTTGGCAAGTAGCATAAAAACTGAGAACGATGGTTACTCTATTGATGAGGGCCAAATGGAAAGCTACCAAATGAATGACTGCAGTTGGGTCCAGGACAGCTCACCTGAAATGGCTGAAAATGAATCTCAAGGTGAGGGAAAAGTTTTCGTATGGAATGACATGGGCTCACAGGGACAATCAGTTCAAGAACCTGGAAAAGCAAGAAGGAAAAACCAAACTGCAAAGAGATTTATTTATAATATACCACCTAATACTGAAGAGAACTCAGAAGATTGCTCAGTGTTGCAACCGTCAGTCCCATATCCGGAAGAAGATTTGTCATTTATTAAAGAAGAAGCAGGTAAATATTGCTTAATGTCAGTCAGTCATGTCATTTGAAACTAAATTATTGAATAAAGTACATGACAGTGTAACTTTTATAAAGGTATGTTGGATAGGATCTTTTAGTGAAGTCAGCACACCAATCAGGTTACTAAATCAGTAATCCGATTCTCCACCTTGGGGCACAACAGTGTATCTTTGGCTAGAGAAAGGAATCACCGTGCTGTGCCATGCAGTATGTAACATGCTGTTTGCATTTGATGCTTGAGTTGGGAATACTTACCAGCTGGTAGAAACTAAAATTCTTATATTTATGTTTAATCTGTAGCCACTATTAGGCACAAAATCAAGGAGTGATAACTGGTGGCTAGTGATGTTAGCTGGTTGCACAGAGAAAGGGCCTTCATAATTTCCTTCCCTACACTAGCAAAAGACTTTTGTGGTGATCTCCCTCACCTGAGTGTCACCCAGAAACAGAAGTCAACTTTCCGCTGCTGTTTATTGTAGGATTATCTGGGAAGCTACAAAATGGAGTAATCCTGGCTAGTATAATAGAAACTCTTAAAGCAGATTTGTGAAACAGATTGGAAAGACATGCCACAATGACATATAGTAAAGGGAATATCTTTTTGTTGAACTATTCTTTAAACAAATCCTGAGAATGACTGAATTAATAGGATTTTTTTTTCCTTAAGGATCTATGGTTAATGTAAATGTTAAAATAAGATTAAATATCTGTTTGCTAAACAAATACAGTCACACAAAGAATTATAAGCAGACTGTTCACAGTGTAATTGGGGATTTGGGGCAATGTAATTAAGTTCCATTTTTTAATTTTTTTATAATTATTATACTGTAAGAATAGTTGAAGTATATATTTGAAGTACTGCCATTTACCTGTATCACTTTTAGATGAATTAGCAGTTTTGAAAACTTACCCCAATTTAGGAGTCAAATTAAAGGTGGATTTGAGACATAGCTGGAACCAAGTTCTTCAGACGTGTCTGTTTCTAAAGCATTTCAAAATGTATGCCCCCTTCAAACATGAAGGGACTGTGGATATCCTCCGCTTCCCAGGTTCAAGGAGTAGAATTAAGAGGGAAATTAAAAAAAAAAATCAGCACTATCAGCACTCACACCTGTGGGTATAGAATATTTCCAGATATTTTTGTATTCCAGTGACAAAACAGATATTTGAAAGCAACCCGAGTTCTGGGAGGGTCTAGGAACCTATATTTACTTTGGTGGAAGGATGGCCTTGGTTTCTTCCTGTACCCCCGGACTTATTTGAAAAACAAGGCTGAAAGAAATCCTTTCAGTAGTGGCAGGGACAGGCCGTTTCTCCTTGGGCCTAAAGGGCCCTTTTTTTTTCCTACCCGCGGCGGTGTGTGGATGCCTGTCTGTGTGGCCGGCAGCTGCTGAGGTGCAAGGAGGCAATAGGTGAATAGCAGTCCAGCAGAGGGCATGTGGTGACTCTGTGCTGTGCTGTACCGTGCCAGTATATATGCACGAGCACCACAGTGACATGTCACGATATAGAGCGATGCAGACTGGAGCTACGGATGTGTACATCTGGCACATGAGCAGGGGCAGCCAGTACAAGATGCGTCCATATAGTTAGCAAGTAGTGTGGCACAACAGGAGCAGCTCTGGAGAAGCAGCTGTGCTGAGGAGCTAACATTCATTCTGTAAATGCTTCAGGGGGTTTGCTTATCTCCAGTCTTCATCTCTGAACTCAGTGGGTAGGTCTACTTTAGCTTTGCAGTTCAGCTTGGGAGTGTGCACTTGTAAAGTGAACTTCCTGATCTTCTCTTACTGTCTAAGCTTTTTTAGACTGTACAGGGTTTCTTCTGGTTGAAATGAAAATAGAAGCTGTGTTTCAGAAACATGCCTATTTTGTGCCATCTGCTAACAGGCCTTGGGTCCACAGCACCAGGTCAGATCTAGCCTTAAGTAAAGCACCTTCAGATGTGTATAGTGGGGATGTTGAGTCCTCAGCACCCACACAACAAATCTGCCTCTGCTGGGCTACACTATTTGCTAATACATACTTAGTTGCGGCAACATGAAAAAAGGCAACAGAAGGTCTGGAGCAGGAGCTGAGGACCTGTATATTAATTGCAGAAACATCAAATTTCTGACACAATTTAGCATGTGATTTCTATTTCTGATTTATATGGGGTAGATATTCAATCTCCTTTACTGTTGGAAATACCACAGGGAATATGTCTACTAAATGATGTCCCCAGCAACAGAAATAAATACTTGCTTGTGTTCTGCAGACTTTGAATTTGTGCTGTGGAGCTTTCTTGCAGAAATAATGGAGGGTATGGGCAGTGCAGTAATGATTAAACAAGTTTAGTCCTTGTTTGGTTTTTTGGACAGAAGCACCAAGGTTTCCAGTAACTCATTGTGCTAAAGAATTAAATTACAAAATACATCCATGTAACATCTTGATGAAAAGAGCTGTATTAGAGGCTAGGGGCACACTGAATTTGTGCTGTGGTGTCTGTCCAAAACTGTTGGAAGTTCTGTGATTGCAGGGGAGAGTTTGTTTTGGTGAACTATAAAATCGTGTCAGCTAATGATCTCCTTGGTACTTTCAGAGCACAACATAAGTGGTCCCAAGTAAATATTTATTTTCTGTCAGTGTTAGAACTATTTTGGAAGCCATATCTAATATTTTTATAATAAGACCTTTACTTTTATGAAGTTCTTATGTGCATGCACATTGTTTGAAACAAGAAGAGATACTGGAAGTGGGGCTTGGTATAGCTTACTTTCACCCATAGTCTGTGCTTCAGCATTTGGTATTCTTTCTCCTGTACTGCTGGCTAACTTTTTCTTTGGTCTGCAGGTAGATTCCACTCTTAAACACTGTTATTTCAATTGTTCCCTCTACACCCAAGAAAAGGTGCAAGAGGGGAGGAGTGGAGAATTGGGAAAATGACAAGAATGAGTTGTAGAGTAACCTGCAGGTTATACGGTAACTTTTTAGTTGTGGATTAAATTTCTTGTGGAGATGAAAAACTACCAAAAATAATAGGCACCGGGAGTTAAAAATGCATAAGAAAATGTCTTCTAGAATAGACATAAGACAATGCTGTGAGAAGAAAAAGGAAGTAGTAAATTCTTATGATGAAAGCTAAGGAGTGTGCTGTCCCTTTGGTTGACTAAAAGGGAAAGAATGAGCTGCTACTATTATGCTTTGTCATGTGCTGATGGGGATAACCAACACCAGCTGTGGTTATGAGATGTCCAGTAACATGCAAAGTGAGTTGCTGTGTCTTTGATTATGGTTTTGGGTTGTCTGGTGTTTTTGTGAGGGGAAAGAAATACCATTAATGCAGTGGAAGGGAAGCCTATTTAAGAACACTCCTCTCGCTACAAAAATTTACCCCAAAAGCCACTACCTTGAATTCTATAGTAAATGGACTTTGCAGTTGGGTACTGCTAGGTAAGTATTAGATAATCAAAAATAAAAGCTTTCTGAACTATCTGCTACCCCTCTTGTCCCAGTAAAGCAAACATGTTAAACTGTTCCTTGCCAAATGTGAGTTTTCCTACAGGTATCCATAAGGATGTGTCAGCTTCTCCTTCTTCTCACCCTGTGTTGCCGTTGAGTTTATATTTAATACCTTCCCTGTAAAAGTAGCACATTGAGCTTCAAAAAAACTCTATGAAGTTGAGATGGATTTTAAATTGCATGTACCATCTTACTTCATTTACCTACTCTTACTGAAGCTTTCAAGCCTTCTCCAGTTTTAGCTATATTAATTTAAATAGCTGTGTTTCTTCACACAATGTTACCACCTATCTTACTATTTTCCCTTCTAGTTGATAATCTGCTAAAAAATGTCTTTACTGTTTACAGCCGTGGTGCATCCTACAATTAACCATTTACCATGGTGAAAATAACAGTGCAATCAGTCAGCATCTCTTAGTTACCACTTCATAAAAGTTCAGTGATTCTAATTCACCATATTCTTAATGTCTGTTCATAGTTTTTTATGAACTTTTGTCACTTCTTGAATTTGCTTTTCATTTGGGCCTGTTTTTTGGAGTACAAGTGTCCTATCCTCAGGCTTCAGAACACAACTGTGAAGTATTGCTTACGCTTTCCAGAGCTGACTGTGTTGATTTCTAAAGAGGCTTGTATGTAATATCCCAATAGCTTTATGAAGCTACCAGTGGATTACTTGTTACCCTGATTTTCAGGCATGGTGGGGGTGAGGGAACGGATAACATGGCCAGGATGAAAACAGCCCTTTTGTGGAACAAGAGGCTTCCTGAATGATTTTGTAGGTGTTCTTAAGGAATTTAATTCAGCTTGCTGTAGAAGCAACTACTTTTCAGAAGGGTACAAGCAGCAGCTAAACCTGCTTAGAAAAATGTAGTGCTGGTCACAGTTTTCCTCTTGACGTGACGGAGCAGCATAACACAACTTGATCAGGACTTACAATAAAGAGAGGTAACTTTGTATTTGAAGAAATCAAGATTAATGGACTTATCTGGACATGTTTATATTTCTTGTAGGGATAAATCCCATTTGACTGTCTGAGTTCCAAATAAAAAAAAATTAGTGTAAGAAAATTAAGCATTTTTCCTACTCTTGCATGGTACTATAAGTCTCGGTCAGGTCTTCCTCAGACCCCCAGCTGATACCCTGATTGAAAGATTTAAATTGCTTAAAGGACCTTTAATCTATTTGCCCCATTCCCTATGTAACCTGATATTGAAGGTCCCATTGGTTTTTAGAAGTCATCTAAAGAGTACAACATCCGGGGGTCAACCTCTTCCCCATTCATTAAATTTGTCTCTCCTGGGGATGATCCCAAAGACAAGTAGATCCTTATATTCTCATGGTATGGTCAACTACTGACCTTGCAACTTTAAGCAATGTTCTGCATATTACTGTTGTACTGGTTGTTTTTTTCCCCCCACAAAAAAAAGGCAAGCAATTGGGGAAGAAGGTTATATGGTGTCTACGGATCTTTTCTGCCCAAAAAACTTTTTTTT